GATACACTTTTCTTAGATATTTGGTAACTTAGATGTTTTTTTACAATGATTTGTGAGTTTTTCTTCTTATATGCACTGTTTACTTTTTCTTTTTCTTTTTTTATTATTTTTATTATTTTTCTTTTTTTTTGGAATTTTTTGAAATATCTTCATCTACAAATCAATTTTTTTAAATCCATGTTTTATGTTTTTTTCAGTGTATTTGGACTTTTTATGTTTTTTCAGTTTTGTTTGACGTTTATGATTTTTATTTTATTTTTAACATTTTTCTTTGAATTTTTTTTATATATATTTAGGGTTTTTTGGCCAGGACTTGTGAAAGCCTGCTCGGACTGACCCGAGTAAGTTGGCTCGGGCCAAGGCTAAGTTTGTAGCTGGCCCGAGCCAAGTTCTTAAAGTTGGGTATGCATATCACTAAACACAAATAGATAATGTTGCATATAACTCTGGGTTCATTCATGCATTGTGAGCTGGTTAATTGGAGGCTAATGTCAATTTTCTGTATTATAGATAATATTATGAAAAATAAGATTTACAATTCAGTTAATGTAGCTGTAATCTAATTTTTTTAAAATCAATGCTGTTTTTTCAATCCGAAATGGACCTCTACCCATCTTGAGTAGTTTTGTTTTGTTGAATTTTATGTACATCCAAAATGATAGTTTTTGAGATCTTTTTATGGAGAATTCATTAGAAACTCTTCTTACAAATTTCTACCTCTCTTACCTCCACATTATCTTTTGAATTAAAAGAAAACCCAACATGCATGCGACAGAAGAAGTTGAGCAATTTGATGTTAATGTTGGTAGAAACCGAGCAATTTGACGTTAATGTTTATAGAAATCGAGATTTTAAGAGATTTTTTCCAATATTTTGTCATCGTATCAACTATTTATTTCCAGGTGTCAATGACTTTTCTCTGATTAAAACTAATTAGAGAGTGTGCTTAAAACCTGCAGTGATTAGGCTACAACAACCCAACTCTGGATCCAACTAATTAGAGAGTGTGCTTAAACCTGTCGCAGTGATTAGGCTACAACAACCCAACTCTGGATCCAAGAAAGTATATATCACTGTAGAATTATTGGCCCAATATTTTTGAAATTTCTCATTCTTGTCACTGCTGCAATGATCATATAATAACTCTGGTTGGCCCAATATTTTTGAAATTTCTCATTCTTGCTGCCGCTGCAATGATCATATATTTTGTCAGATATATCCAAGTTCAAATGAATCTTGAACTCTATCGTTTTTTTAAAATGAAGTTGAACTCCAACGTTTAAAATTTAAAGTTAAAATGATATTTAGAATAAAGCATTTATACAAGGCATCTATGAAACCTATTCACATTCCAAGCATTGGTCCTAATCACACATAAATAAAGGATGTTATAGAAAGGGCATCTTTTACAAAATAAAATGGCATATGTATGTTATTTTTTTACATTTATTTCAAAATATACAATTTTTTTTACCAAACTTTAAAAAACTCAAATTCTTTAAAACTATATGTAATATTAAATATAGTTATATTTTAAAATGTACAATTAAAATAAGAATTAATAAACCAATTTAACTTGAGGATGTCTTTAGTAGTTATAGCATAATACTAATAGAATAATAACAAAATAAATATGATTTTTTCATAAATATCATAATTTTTTGTTACTAATTATAAATATTCCAATATGTATTTATTTTTACTACAAATTTATTAATATTAATGTAGTAATTCATGTATCATGACTATATAACAAATATAGTTTCATTAATTATAGTTATTAAAATTAAAATTAAATATTATTGATATATTCAAATAATAAAAATAAAATTCATCATCATCATTATAGCTTTTTTCCAATTAAATGGGGTCGATTACATAAATCCTAGTCCGCCATTTTGCTCTATTAAAAATCATACCTTCAGTGAGATCATAA